GATCCTTCATACCTATTATTATTAACTCAACATTACAGTGCATCTAGATTGTGAAAATATGAACTTAAAAGTATTAAATATTTGACAACTTTAGAGATTGTAAATGATAATAATTAGTATATACAAAGAATTTATCACATAATGTTACATGTAAAGCGGAATGAATGTAATATTTATTATTAAATACTCAACTTAATATGTGAATAAATTATTAGCAATTGTTTTTTATTTATTATCTCAAAAAAATCAAAGTAATTCAATTTCATTTCATTATCATAACTTTATTAGAAATACAACACAACCTTTAGCTTATATAATACTCATACTATCAACCTACTACTTAATCTGAAGTTTACTCTATAATATTCAGAATACATAAAATGACTAATACTACTGCAATAAATATAAAAATATTCGAAGTTCTTGGGGCTACTAATTATTTTTTATTATTTTTGCACAATGGATATAGATGTTTAAGTTACCGAGCAATTGATTTATAGACAAATGTTGGTCACCTATGGGCCAATCGCGGGTAACCTGTGGGTTGACCCACGGGTCACCCACGAGTTGACAAACCTGTTCTCACCCGGGCTGCTACAACTTGACCCAGATCACCCGCCCACCCGCAGGTGACCTGGTGACCCCCACCCGGGTCAAATCACTAACTTAGAAGCTAAAAAGCTAGAAAATTGAATAAAGTACTTTAAACTATATAAATTACATATAAATTACGCAATTGATCAAATGATAATTTGATTGGCTAATTATTACGGAGACTCACGAGTAGAACTACAAAAATTAACCAATCAGACGAATGTCTTTTTATGAGACATGGACACTATTTGGGATCTTTGCTATCAAAATAACCCTCCGAGGCTATGTTGATTTTGTGAATAAAAATTAAATTTGCCAGCTATCTAGTAATCCAATTTGAATAAACTTTTTTTATTTTGTAAATCTCAATAGAATCTACAAATTAAAAAAATTTTTGGATAACTAGTTGGTTGGCAAATTTAATTTTTATTCACAAAAATCAACATAGCCTCGGAGGGTCATTTTGATAGCAAAGATCCCATTTAGACTAGTCCATGTCTATATTTGTCCAAGTCCAAATAAAATTTTTATTGGACATAGTCCAAGTGCCAACATTGCTCTTAGTCGAGGATCTGCCACGCATTTTTTGTGTGGCACCTAGGTTCAATTTAAAAGGGGCTTATGGCATTTTTTGCAAAAATGAGTTAATTATACTATCATATAAAGTAGGTATTTCTCTACGTAATTAGATATTTAAAATATCGATTTACATAAAATTTTCGTTGATTCCTACTTTTTTAAATGCCATATACTATTAGATATGATCTAAAATTAGAATTTAGAAACTAATTGTCGGTCGTTGTTAGAAAAACGTTTATGTGATTGGCTAATTTATGTCGACCCAACAGGTTATACTAATAATAGATTTTCATTAGCTGATCGCGCCCCTGACAATAAGTGACTACGTCATTTTTGACCAATAATCATTAAAGGACCGGGACCGAAAATACCATGATAATGGTCTCATTATAGCATTAGGCATATTTTGGCTGAGATTATGATTTAATTTCTTAATGCTGGCCAGAATTAATTGCACCAAAATAAGTACATAAAATGATAGAATAATACGGTTATGACACTAACTAAAATTAGCACAACAACTACGTTAAAAGTTGTGCATATATTTTAGTCATGTGTGTTACAAATATAAGCGTCGATTTTAACAATTATATTATTACACGAAAAAAATTAAAAAATTTTTATATGATAGTAGAACACCAATGTGTTATCATTATAGAGTCTGCACAATTATAACTCATAAATTTGATTACATATCCGTTATTTATCCGTTATTTAGTATATGAAAACATCCCAATTAATAACGAACGACAAAGGAAAACCCTCATCAGACTGTGCGCAGCACACAGAAACAAAATTTTACGCATTTGCAAATACGTAGTAGTTTTTTTTTATTTGTCGCACAGAACCTGGCATTTCTGCATTTATTTAATCAGCTTATATAATAAAACAACCATTTGGAAAATAAATGAATAACAATCACTATTTCATTGAGTTATTCAGAACTGTAAAATTGTTTGAAAAAATTTGGTAAGGTGTTGTAAATAAAGACTTAACACAAAATTCATTATATTTAACCATTTTAGTATAAAATTTATTAGTACGTACGAACGTATAGACTTCAAATCATACACACATTGGACCTATAAAATTTTATATTTCCAATACACTTTGTCTTGCTTTAATGAAATTTGCCCTACTTCAGAAAAAATATAAATATTTGTAAATATTCGAGAATAGAAATACTTTACCTTTTATAATACGTGTTATCATGTCTATCATAAAAGATACTTTCGTCAAGCTTAAAAACGATGTTGAACATTTTGGTGAAAAAGAATGGCATAATTGGGGTCAAAATCAGAAATGTGCCCCTGATGAAATTTTTCGTCCTGTAAATTTGCATGATTTAAAAAAAATTGTCAAAAAAGCAAAGGAAAATAATAAAAAAATTCGTTGTGCTGCTGCGGGTCATACTTGGAGTAGCCTTAGTGTTACTAATGGATATTTAGTAATAGTTACTGATTTGAATGATATTGAGATTCAATATAATGAAAGATTGAAAACTTGGACAGTTACCACCGAAGCAGGTAGGAAGGGATTCTTAAAGATAAGCAAATTCACGTTTTTGTTTTTAGTATTTTTAATTACTTTACTCAATTGAATTTATAGGTGTATATCTTAAAGATCTCGATGAAAAATTAAGGAAACATAATCCTCCATTGACATTGGATGCTGCAACTGTATTAAATACTGTGACAACATCTGGCATTGTGGCGACAGGCTCTCATGGTGCGAGATGCTCAAATTCAACCATCCCAGAAAAAGTTATCTCTTTTCAAATTGTAACTGCCGATGGTGAACTTCGTGAGTTCTCTGATGAGATAGATCCTATTGAAATGAATGCCGCTAGAATCAGTTTTGGTAAAATTTTTTTAAATAAAAAATAAATAAACATATAAAATTATGTACTTATTATATCTGGTTTTTAAACATTGATTCTGTACTAAAGGTCTCTTAGGAATTATATATAAGCTCACTTTTAAAGTCGAACCAATGTTTAATTTCATAATGAAAGATACCTTCCCTGCAATTTCAGATTATTGGAAACCAGCAAACCTCAAAAATGATGTATCGAATAGTGATAGCATTGAAGTTTTCTATTGGCCATTCAATACACCAGGCCTTGAAGGAAAAAATGATAAACTTTGGGTAAAAACTTGCAAGAGAACCGATTTGAATGCTACGGAGAGTCAGGAAGAAGTGCAATTGGTGTCGGCCTTCCAAAATTTTGAACTCGAATTTGGGGATCACATTTATGAACACCTTATTAAATTTCCGGAATCTACCCCATACATTACTCACCTTCTCTTTAAAACTGGTGTTGAACATGAAAGTGAAAAGATTATACCAGCTCCTGATGCAATTCATTATCAGGTTGTGTTTCTTTAAATATTAATTTTAAATATTTTTAAACTGTATTAATTTTTTTTCTTGAATTTTTCACAGAAAGGTATTGATCACATTCCTTGTATGGATCTTGAGTTTGCTATCAAGATTAATCATGTAAGTAGAAGTTTAAAATAGAGATTGGAATTAATTATAGAGCATCGATCGTCAAGTTTTTAAATCAAACATTTGCTTGAATATTGGCCATATAAGAAGTTAAATTTATGTAATAATAATCACAGGTCGAGCTTTGATTTCTATGAGATATTAGTGGAATATCAGATGTTTATAAGTCTGATAGGTATACAATATTTGGCAGGCGATGAAAAAATAGGAAATTTTTTCATCAGAGTTAATGTCACCTCATGTGCTGCATAGCAGCGCATGAGTGACATTAACTCTGATGAAAAATTTCCTGTTATTTGTCGTATGCCCAATATTGATGTTACGTATCCGGCAGATATATATGGCCATGTGATGTTTTTTCCTGTGATGTTTTTGCATCATAGACAGAAGTTCGTCTGATTGGCTAATAAATTCAATTTAATTTTACATTATTTATACAGTTTAAAATACTTTTTAAAAAAAAATAAAACTACGAAGAATAAACAAAAAAGAAATATATAAAAAGTTTTATTAGGGTTGTAGGACTCCACCATTAAAAATAATCTAATTCAATTCTGGTTTTAGAGAAGTTAGCATAATAGCGACTTCTTAAAGATAGGTTATTACCATGCTAACTTCTCTAAAACCAGAATTGAATTGGATTATTTTTAATGGTGGAATCCTACAACCCTAATAAAACTTTTTATATGTTTCTTTTTTGCTTATTCTTCGTAGTTTTATTTTTTTTTTAAAAAGTACTTTTAAACTGTACTGTATAAATAATGCAAAATTAAATTGAATTTATTAGCCAATCAGACTATGACCCTTGTTCTGCGGTCACATAATAGTAATTTGTTAGCTGATGATATTTATTAATCAATGTATTCAAAATATTACCTATCTCTCTTACAGTATTAATGCTTATTTATTTAATTTATATTCAACTGAGTTAATAACAATTGAGATTGTGCATATTTATTGAAATTGTTCTTATCATGTATGAAATGCAAATTTAATTTAGTCTGTAAGGGGCGCTAGCGACGCCCCACTTACACTTGTATTAAATAAAAATGTCAAAATATATATGTGTAGAAATATTTTAAACGGTGCACCCGTGCACTGAGTGCATTCCTATCTTTTAATAGCAAATAAGCGCACAGTATTAAGGTAAAGATAAATGTAAAATTACGAGAAAAGAATTTTTTTTTTTTTTTAGTTACATAACAGGGGTATCCTAGTAAAATTCTGAGATACAGTAGAGTGAACTCAGTGCATAGCATCATAAAATAGGATTCTAAATTTAATTATTACGCATACGGTATGCAAATATAATTTTTCTAAAAACGCTCTTTATAGAAATAGAATTTTATACCTTTAGTACTTGCAGAATCGCAATCTTTTTTCAAGGTTTTAGCCAACTCAGGAGGACCACAGTAATATACACCCACGTTAGTATTCAAATCTCTTTTGCCCGGCAAATAACTACCATTCACAATCGCTCGATTTAATTCGCTAAATATATAACCAAAATTTGGTCTACCGTAATGTGTTCTGCTTTCTAAATCTGTCAATGGATCATGTGAACCAGATACATCATTAATTATTATATTATTTATAGTGGATTCACTAAGTTTTGATGTCAGATAAATGTGGAATTTTAGGAAATCAGCTTCCATTTGGGTAGCTTCTAAAGTTTTCAGTAAGGATTGAAACCATTTAGATATGATCTATCGCTACGTATCAAGAACCAATTACGATTAGGGCATGCATGTAATTTTATAAGTTAGCAAGAATGTAGATCATTATGTCATGAAATCATTCGATTTCTACATCCAATCAGAATCAAGAATTTATGGACGAAAGCAAAACATGAATCAGGCCATACACTCCGTTTCATTATTACGTTCCTGGTAATCCTAAAAAGAAATGCAAATTTACATTGGGCCATCGATATATTGTCTAAAATCAAGTCTTTACTATTGTTTGTTATTGTATTTGTAATTTTCCTAGTTGCATAGTCAGCTATTTTTTTTTTATTTTCTCTACGGTTATAATTTTATTTCGCATGATCAGCTGTATTCTCATTTTAAAAAAATAGAGTAATATGGACAATGCGGCGAATTTATGGAATACACCAAATCTGAAAATTTTGACCACTAAGATATAAATATAGATTTTGACTAAGATAAGAAATTTTTCCCAGGCTAAAGTGCGTCGTTATAATAAATTTATATGTCTAATAAGGGTGGGAAGATGGGTTAGCCTTTGGGGACGATGGTTATCAGTCTAGACCAGAGGTCCAAAAAAAAAGTTTTCGGGGTTTGCTATCGCTATCGCTTTGTTATGTAAATTGGAAACTAAGATTTATTTTGGGGATAAAATACTCGGATTTGGTGACCGTGATGCATAAAATGAGCGCAAAGGTGTGCAGCCAATCAAATTGCAATTTGAAAACTGCAAATTATATGTAGTAGTAGATTATTATAACCTTTTTCGGGTCGTTGCCGTATTTACAAAATTTTACTTATTTATATACAGTCGCTTCTCTCTAATCCGAACCTCTTTAATCCGAACCATAATAAAATCTGTGAGAACCGAACGTAAACTCTAGAACATTTGTAAATTTTATTATAAAGTTTGGATTAGTAATATGATACCTCTTTGAGAACTGAACTTTTGAGTAATTTTACATATAAGAACGAACCGTTCGGAATAGAGAGAGTTGATTGTAATTGTTTTTATTATTGTAAATTTATTATCCTCTTTTTTTAAAAAAAGCACCTATTCTTGCATTCTTTAAAATAAATATTACTATTCATTCAGAAATCCAGCTGGAGCTGGATTCTCCTGTAGTATCACCTAAGTCATCTTTGTACTTCGATAATGCTTTTCAATAATTTTATAATTCTTTCGATCTTTCCTTCTCTCTTTGTCTCTCTGCTCTTTTAGTCTCCTTGTAAAAATTCTTATTCGTTCTTCCGAAAAATGGCTGAATCTTTCTCGTCAAGATTTTCAAAAAAATTCACTCTTAAACGTCTCACATTTTGGATTTTTTGGTTTGGGACTCATATTTTTTTATTCATTTTTGGTTTCTTTAAGCAAAAGGATGACAGATCTTTGGATAATCTTAATGTCATCGGTTTCTCTGTATGGATTTCTCGTGGTGCTGGTCTATGTCTCGCTTATGACGGCGCTCTAATCCTCTTACCTGTTCTCAGAAATATTATAAAATATTTGCGTGCTATAAGTTTTTTAAATAATCTTATTTCATTTGATGAGAATCTTCGGTTCCATCGTCAAATCGCTTATGCTATGCTCTTTTGGACTTTAGTACATACTTTTGCTCATTATATTAACTTTTGGGAGTTGGAACAACTTGGCAAGTTCCAAGTTTGGCAACTTCATTATACTACTTGGGCTGGCCTTACTGGCCATTTTATGTTACTTATCATGGTTTTAATGTATACCTCTGCTCATCATAATATGCGTCATCAATCTTTTGAAACTTTTTGGTACACTCATCAGTTTGCTTTCTTCTTTATGTTTTGTTTATATTTTCATGGTCATGGTTGTTTTGTAAAAACCGCTCAAGGTGAATGTAAAGGCTATTTTTCTTGGCGATACACCATAGTTGGTGGTATTTTGTACCTTTTTGAACGTGTCCTACGAGAAATCCGTGCTCGTCAGCCAACTCGAATTACAAAAGTAATTGACCATCCTTCGAAAGTAATTGAAATTCAATTTAATAAGCCTTCTTTCCGTTATAAGGCCGGCCAATACTTGTTCTTAAATGTCCCTGCTATATCAACTTGGCAATGGCATCCGTTCACAATCACCTCGGCACCCGATGATCCTTACGTTTCCGTCCATGTTCGTCTAGTTGGTGATTTCACCAATAAACTTG